AAAATATGAAAAATATTAAGTACTTAGTAGTAATATTATTAATACCCCATAACGCACTAAAAATAATATAGATTTCTCTTTTCTTTTCCTTAACTTTTGATAAAGTTGAATCGATTGACAACTTATTTTGTGAAATTGGCCTAAATGACTGCTAAGGTGAAACATCTATACAAACATACATACATAGAATGTCAAGTACAGAACCATTTCTTTGAATCGCCGTAATCGTTAAAAATATAGGTTGAAAGTGACAACCCTTGGTTGTTACCGTCACATCATTGCATCACTAGTATGGTAACTTTGCCAAGTCAGTTTTATAGACAAAATGTTAAGATCACTGATCACATCATTAAAAACGAAATATTACATTTCCATTCATTTTAAAGATATAGGCACATTACCTACATTCAGTATTTCAAACAAAATCAACAAAAGTTCTGGAGCACTGAAAAAAGAGGTTAAATCGTCGGCACAATTCCATGTTAAAATAAAACGCCAAAATTAACTTACATGTAGCCATAACGAAAACAATGCTGTCAATTAGAAACAGCATATCACGAAAAACGTTACGTTCTCCTTATTACGAGGGCTATTTCCACTGTTCCTGTCATATTAAAATCTTTTTAATTGAAAACTCCTTGGTTTTAAAAATCGAATACCATTTATTTATTTAAAAAAAAGATTCTCGGTCTTGTCACAAGATTTTGTCAAACTTGTTTAGTCGCTGAGAAAATGGAATTGACTCGAGAAAATTTAAGAGCGATGATTTATTATGACTTTCGAAGTGGTTTAACACAAAAATGGTGTGTTGACCGGATGATTTCTGCATTTGGTCCCCATCCAAAACCACAATTTATCGCTGGTTTGCTGAATTTCAACGTGGACGTGTCAAGCTCAGTGATGATCCCCGTCAAGGTCGTCCAAAAACTGTCCCCAAGAAAACGTTGATGCTGTGCGTAAGCTGATTGAGGAAGATCGACATATGACATAACGCAAAATTCAGGCAACTTTAGACATTGGCATGAGTCAAATACAAATAATCTTGCATGAACAATTAGGTGTAAAAAAGTTGTTTTCCCGATGGATACCGCATTCGCTATGTGAAGAGCAAAAAGCGGCTCGCGTTACTTGGTGCGTCAGAACTCTCGAAAGATTCCACGCAGGATCCTCAAATGCTGTATACAACATCTTATCAGGTGACGAATCCTGGATATACGCGTACGAACCCGAAACAAAAAAGCCAGTCACGAGTTTGTGTTCGAAAATGAGTTAAAGCCAACAAAAATTGTTCGTTCACGAGTGTTGCAAAATAAAAATGGTGGCCACGTTTGTCTCCAAAACCGGCCATGTTACGACTATTTCTCTTGAGGGACAAAGAACGGTTAATGTAGAATGGTATGCTAGCATTTGTTTGCCACAGGTTGTTTCTGAAATCCGTAAAGAGAACTGCAACCGCCGCATCATCCTCCATCACGGCAATGCGAGTTCTCACACCGCACACAGAACAAAAGAGTTTTTAGAGCAAGAAAACATAGAATTATTAGACCATCCGCCGTACAGCCCCGACCTAAGCCCTAATGGTTTCTATACTTTCCCTAAAATAAAGAATAAATTGCGTGGACAGAGATTTTCATCACCTGAAGAAGCTGTGGACGCCTACAAAACTGCCATTTTGGAGACCCCAACTTCCGAATGGAATGGTTGCTTCAATGATTGGTTCCATCGTATGGAGAAATGTGTCAAATTTCGCGGAGAATACTTCGAAAAGCAATAAATACCTTTTTAAATAGTAATGTTGTGTCACTTCCTTGACTCCCGAAATTTTCAGTGCCGCCCTCGTATTCGTAAATTTGTATCTGACATTTTATCAAAAATCTAATAAATTAAATAATTTAAATATTAAGAATATGACAAAAAATTAATAACATAGAAAATATTAAATTTATGGGTATAAATGTAGTTTCTAATTTGAAATGGTAGTCTCATGTGAGCAGTGTCTATACGAAGTGAAATCGTTTTTGATATGCATTATATATTACGCTTGGAAAAGTTGTGAACACATCCGCTGTAATGGCATCATACCACGCTTATGTTATGTCGTCGCTTAGATTTATGGTATGTATCTAATATATATAATCATAATTCTAGGGTAATTATGATTATATATATTATATGCGGACAGAGGAACAGCATTTAAAGCTCAGAAAAAATGCTTACGAGCCATTTGTCAAATTAACCAGAGTGGGGTTGTAAGCCATACTTCATTAGCTTAAAATTATTAACAATGCCATGTCTATAAATATATAGTACTTGAGGGTAATATGGTCATCCGGTTAATATGTTCACTTTTCTATAACTCAAAAACTACTGCCTTGTTTGCATAAATGGATCTGTGATACGATAGCTCTTTATCAGTCAATAAAAAAGGTAGCGACCTTTTTTATTGACTGATAAATTATCGCCTTATCGACGCTATTTTGACAGTTGACATTACAGTAATAATTTTTGTCAATTTTAGTATTGTGTGATGTAGTTAGGTTCTTTTTAAGTTGATTTTTCTAAGTGTTCCTAGTCATTGTCAAAGCTTGTTTGCTGTTTTTTTCTTGTAATATATTTGTTAAAGTATACGACTTTGTGTTTTTATCTCTGTACTGTTTCTAACTTTTTTATTATATATATATAAGAATTATTATTGTTTGAACATGGCGTATGCCCAAACACAAAAGGCCTTTGTTAAGTGACAACTGGCACTGCCTGCCTAGGAGTAATGGTGTTCTGTGCTGCCTGCTCTCAAATTATACTACTTATAAATGATGATTCTGATTCTCTGATCTCTAATACATCATTTCTAATTCATCGAAGATCATAAGTAATCTCAGATTACTATTACTCCTAGGCAGGCAGTGCCAGTTGTCATTTAACAAAGGCCTTTTGTGTTTGCGTATATGCTATGTTCAAACAACAATAATTCTTAAAGTAATAAAGATACAGCTGTAAACTTTATGGATGTAGCTTAACTCAAAATCTGTCGATCTAATATAAAAATAAAACGGGTGAACGGGGTTGTTTTTGCAGTAATTTACAATAATTTGCCGATTAGCATATTTTTTTGATATTTATTTGAAGTTAAATTTTTTTTCTTCAAAGTTTTAAGTATGTCAACAAAAATTTTGATAATGTAAATGATAAACAATATTATTGGCCTCCGAATGAGTTAATTTTTATCTCAGTAAGACTAAAACTTTCATAGATATCACTTTTTTCGTAAACGCGTAGAGAATATCTCAAGAGAAAAACAAAATGGCTGCCAAATAGAGGGGGAGGGGATTAGACCTCAGTGTGTAGTGTATTTTTATATTAAAATAGCTGTATTATAAGTACCTAAAATATCGCTAGTCCGTGACCGGACACACTGTATATATATATATATATATATATATATATATATATATATATATATATATATATATATATATATATATATATATATAATATATATATATATATATATATATGAGGTACTGAAATAATACTAGTTTTTATGGAATTTATCGCGTATATTTAACTTTTTAAATACCCGACGTTTCGAACGCTTTACAGCACTCATGGTCACGGGCGGGACTGACCATGAGTGCTGTAAAGCGTTCGAAACGTCGGGTATTTAAAAAGTTAAATATACACGATAAATTCCGTAAAAACTAGTATTATTTCAATGTGTAGTGTTCGCGTAAATATAAGAAATCATTATATATGAGGTACTCTTTTTTTGTACGTCAAAACTTAAGTCTTTACAAAAATCTAAATGTCATAAAGATAAATTGAGGCATTCCAATAGTAAGACTGTTTTGTTTAAGAAAACAATTTTATTAATATAATTTACTCTGCATGGTCTCGCCTGTCTAAGAGTCCTGTTTAATCTAAAGAGCCTTCACATTTTTAAGAATCAACTTATCATATCTTTAACAAAAAATACATATTATAATATTAAGGATTATTTGTTTGATTTTTTTTATTTCAACTATAAAATTAATTAAATAGAACTGCAAAACTTTATCTAACTATGTAATTTAATTTTAAGACATTATAACTTTGATAATTATATTTATTATGTTATTATATGGTGAATCATTATGATGTTAGTTATACAAATAAGATTATTTTATGTTAATGTAATTATGAGAAATTTTCATTTTAATTATAAAAAAAAATCTTGTATATCATTATTAGTTTGCACACCGGAAGGTAGAATATGGCTGGTTTTGTTAAATTTTTAAGACCTACTGTAACCCATATATCAAAAACAAATAAATACATTTGAATTTTACTTCCAGTATTACAAAATTTTTTGTTTTTTTTTATTTTAGAATTTTCATGTTAACTTTTTAATACACCTACTTCATTTTATATCTGCATCTGCCCAAGGTACTGTAGAATGTATTAGGCATAAGTCCACCTATATACCACACATACAACATGTAACAAAAACCCTGTGTGGTTCCCGTTAAGTGTGTTATCAGAATCAGTATCCAAGCGTATAGAAATCATGTTTTTTTTTTTCAAAAAAACAATTTACAAAAAATTTATTTTCATGAAAAAATATTACTTTGCAAATTGTATGTAGTTTTATTTCCTCTAACTCACACGAGTATCGGTAATGCGATGTCTTTGACAATCCTCTTACTTCTCGGCCAATGCAGAGATAATAAAACTACATACAATTTGAAATTTTTTTTTCATTAAAATTAATTTTTTTAATGTTTTTTGAAAAAACATTTATACTGATTCTGATAACGCAGTTAACGGTAACCACAGGGTTTCTATTACATCATGTTGTATAGTTTTAATTATTTATTAACTCTCTGAAGTTGCGTTCTATTATGTCCACACATCGACTTCAGAAGCTATTATAAATAAATTACAAACAATTAAGAAATATAAGTGAAGGAATTTAATTTTAGTTTTAAATTACTGTTGTATATTGCATATTAAACATTTTTTACCTATGCAAATGGTTAGCTTCCTTGGCATATTGGTCTCGTCTACTGAGTCCAGCCGCTGCTGCTGGGGGAGGACTGCCGCCACGTAGTAACTCTTCACGCTCCCGTCGAGCACTCACTCGCGCTGAAGTCTTTGAGAACTCTTGTTGATAGTCCTGTAAATAATTTTATTGTAGCAATGGGTAACAAACGAGCACACAGTCCACCTAATGGTAAGTGGCTGCTGTTGCCCATAGACATCCAGATTTATCCTCAATTAAGAATCAAAATGCAAATGCCTCGTCACCCCTGAGGACTAAGATGGAATGCCTCGATTCCAGTAAAAGGGGTCTCTGGTTCTCTACACTCACCATACGAAACACAGCAGCATTAAGCTGCTATTTTACGCTGGTATTCTGTGAAAGCGTGGTCTTGCCCACCAGCACTGTCGAAATAACTTGAGGTTTATATTATCAACATCAAAGCGCTTGTTTCGTCGTTTTATCTAATAGTTCACACGCGCGGACACTTAATTCACAAAATCGCATTACTTTTAAGAATCAAAATCCATTTCAAACCTTTTAAACGACAAAACAGGAGCGACAATCCGTCTACGGCTAAGTTCCCGCCAAAACTCCTACATGCACTGCTGTATTCCAGTGTAAAGGATATAGAGTCAGTATAATTATAAGCTATGAGGCATACTATCTTCTTTGTTTGAAGTTGGTTACAGACGTTCGTAGGCTGCAGTTGCCACCTATCATAAGTAAAAGATACACACCAGATCAAGTTGCAATACAAACTCATTTAATCAAATATACCTTCCACAGGTATTACAATTTTACCCTCAACGTTATCAATACATAACAATAACGAAAAGGTGGAAAAAGCAATTTTATTATTATTTATTTGTAAAAATTAATAGTAATAGTCGATTGAACAATCTCCACCACAGTAGTACTCTATAGTCTGTTCGCTAAGATAGTGTCGGTACACCTGGAGACGCACTTATTATTTTGCTTTTATTTTATTATTAGAATTTTTTTTAAATTTATACTTATAAAGAGTGTACATTATTTACATTTTAAATTTTGCCAAACTGTAAGCCAGTTTGTCGCCAATATAATAGACCGAATATTCATTTCATATTCAGTATTCGGCAGCTTTACCGACTATTTGTTAAAGTAGTACTCAAAGTGTCCACTGTATTGAAATATACGAATTGAGTAATGCCATGTCTTTCATAATTTTACTATTGAAAGTATATTTTATTTATGGGTTAAATCTACTTTTATAGCTTTATGTTTTAAAGCACTATAGATTTATTTCCAATATCAAATAGAAAGCCTGATTAAATGTTTTTGGAATCAAACAAAGACATATTACATTGCATCAGTATATTTCACTTAATAAAATAAGCCCAAATAGTGGATCTCCTGCCACTCATTTTTATCTTATAACTATAAATTTTCACTAAGAGTAACACAACGAAATGCTTTTTAACTCCCCGCTAAGAAATTTAAAAATTTTCAAAAATAGGTTTTTCGTTTTGGATGTGTTGCGACTGACCTAGTACGCCAAAGACCTATTTTCAGCAGCCGACTTGTGATGGTCTCTAACGGTAATGACAATATAACTAAACAATTGTTAAAATGCTTACCATTAATATCTCTCTGTGTCGTTTTATGGTGTGCATTGATGCAGCACCATTTGGTGCTAAATCTGCCATTTTGTCGTTAATAGCTGACAACTGCAAAAATATTTAAAAAAAAATTATAATGGCTAAGTACATTATTGAACTTAGAAACAATATTATAACAGAACCTAATGTCACTGATATTACTAGATGCTTTCGTATTTTAATAATGTTAATAGAAGCCATATTTATAAATTATAGGCCAAATCATAAAATAGTGGTATATCATGAAATACCCTGACTGATTGGCCCAATTCTACAATTGGCCTATGGTTGCCTTTGAAACAGAAACTTTTTTTATTCAATATAGATTGAAAGCCACTTTTTTAATTTACCTATTTTAATTGGCATTTTATTATTAAATTTTCAAATGGCCACTACTATTTTCAATCCGTAAAACCATTATCACACTGAAAATTTCTAATACAATACCTTATTAAGCAGTTGTTGAAGCTCCATGGACATGGTATCAAACATGTCATCACTGTTTATAAGTGGTACAGTCTCAGATGAAAGACTCGATGAACCAGAAGTAACACCTAATTTACTAAATGCTACTAATTTCATATCAATATCATTCTCTAGATGTCGTGCCTGCTTTCTTAAATCTGTAATGAAGAATTAAATTATGATAAGTTTCATGAATTATTTCAGCTATAATATTAAAACTAAATATGACAATTGTGATAAGAATAATACAGGTTCTCGACTTTTGTGCATTACCAGAGAAAAATACAAAACTGCGTTTGCTACCCCGCTTGGCAAGCGTGGCAATCATTACACATATCCCCCTTATGAGGCAATCTATGGGGGAGTCCTATGTTTAGCAGTGAACCTTAGTAGGCTGTAGCTGTATATACACCTAATATTCACAAAGAGTGGATAAAACATACTTAAAAGTACCAGGTGCTTGTGAAACGCTCCCGAAAACGAAAACAGATGATAGTACTAACGAAACTTTTGATGATGGGAATCTTTTCAGAACGGTTTATTAGCTTTATTCACGCTCCAACATATTAGTACAGCTATGAGATGGACAAAATCCATTGGGCCATTCATAGTTTCCAACCCTATAAGGCAGCAGGACCTGACGGCTTATTCCCGGCACTTTTACAGTGGTGGGGGGGGGGGGGTAAAGTCCTAATAGTCAGACTTGTCGCCATAATGAGAGCATGTCTGGCTCTTAAATATTTTCCTAGGGGATGGAGGGAAGTGAAAGTCACGTTCATACCCAAACCAGGTAATAACGCAGAACAGACCTATTAGCCTCACATCCTTTCTTCAAGACAATGGAGAGGATGTGTGAACGGGAGTTGAGAGGGTCGGCGATAATTAACTTACCGCTACAACGAAAAACAACACGCCTAAAGCTTAGGTAAATCAACAGAATCGGCACTTCACCAGGTAATAACAAAGATTGAAGAGGCCATCCAAAACAAAGCAATACGTCTAGGCTCCTTCATAGACGTAGAAGGTGCTTTTGACAGAACAAATTTCTCCAGCATAAAAGGTGCCGTAAGTAGACATAATGTTGAACCGTCACTGATTGACTGGATAGTAAACATGCTCAGTACACTAACAATAAATATTGCTGGTGAATCTCAGACAATTCAGATCAGAAAAGGATACCCGCAGGGTGGGGTTCTTTCACCTCTTCTGTGGAATATGGTCATTAATGAACTCATCAGCAAATTAAACGCTAACCATTTCTACACAGTCGGTTATGCAGATGATCTGACAATACTGGTCTCTGGTAAGACAGCAAACATTGTGTGCGACCTGACCATAATGGCTCTCCTTATTGTGGAGAGATGGTGCAGGGAATATCCTTATTGTGGAGAGATGGTGCAGGGAATATGACCTAACCGTTAATCCAAATAAAACGGTTATAGTAATGTTCACACAAAAACGACTGCTGAATAACTATCATCTTCCAAGTCGTTTCAGCACAAAACTCCAACTTTCTTCCGAGGTAAAATACCTAGGTCTTACCTTGTACAGTAAACTTAACTGGAACAAACACATAGAAAACAAAATCAGCAAAGCTAGTTTAACTTTCTGGCAGTGCAGAAACATGATTGGCAAACAATGGGGTTTAACGCCAAAAATTGTACTGTGGCTGTACAAAACTGTAATTCGGCCCATGATTACATACGGCTCTCTGGTATGGTGGAGAAAAACCAATGAAGCCACCACTCTACAAAAGCTTCAGCCTTACCAGAGATTAGCTTGTATGGCTGCCATGGGCTGCATAAGGACTACACCAACAGCAGCTTTGGAGGCTATGCTGGAGCTAACACCGCTTCATCTACATATACAACAAGAAGCAACTTTAGCTGCCATTAGACTCAAGACCCTAAATCTTTTAAGTAAGAGTAGAGTCCCCCATACAGATATAATCGATAGAATTTACTCAAAAATTCCTATCTTACAAGCCAAGTATGACAGGATCCCAAAACAACTTGTATTCGATAAGAAGTACAGGATAAAATTGAAGAAAACTGACCATCTGGAAGGATTGGGTCCAAGAGAGCTCAAAGTTTTCACGGATGGCTCTAAGACAAATGAAGGTGTGGGGTCTGGAGCTTTCTCTGAAGACCTTAATATCCACATATGCACACCGCTGGGTACCCACAACAAAGTCTTCCAGGCTGAATGCATGGGTATCATCCAAGCGGCCATAGCAATAGATGCTAGGAGGGTGAAAGACTTCTCCATCAGAATACTGACCGACAGTATGGCAGTACTACAAGCTCTGAGTTGCAATGTGACAAACTCGGGACTGATATACAAGTGCCATCAATGATTGAATGATGTATGTAAGCACAACAATGTGACTGCAATGGATCAAGGTACACAGTGGATCTAGAAGCAACGATGCAGCAGATGAACTGGCCAGAAGGGGATCGGCCCTAGCAACTATAGGGCCGGAACCAATAATACCAATCCCCTTTGGTAAAGTCACTGGTACGTAGATACTTCAATAATTTACATGCTCAGCTTTGAAAAAATTCAGTAGACTGTAGACAAGCTAGGGAGGCTGTACCTGAAATAAACAGTCGTCTAACCAAGGTTCTAATGAGACTGAACAAGCCACAGATCAGACAATCAAGGCTAAACATCTCGGCACTAACTTAAAAATCACCAATAACTTAACATAAAAATCATGAAAATACTGAAATATAAAACCAGCAGTGAAACTTAAACACCTAACACCAGATGGCAAATGTTAGAAAAATCCGAACAATTTCTCAGAGCACTCCCTCTGTTCGCAGTGCCAGTGAATGAGCCAATAGGAAAGGACTCGGTCATCTACAATTCGAGCTGCTCTGTGATGGATGCGGTCAAGTGGACAGAGCTGGTACTGGGGAGCTCCAGCCCAGAAATGGGAACAGTATTCTGTGAGGCCGAACCTGCGCCTCGTAAAGTTGCAGAGGTGTGCCGGCATGAAATACAGTCCCGCTCTGCTGAGCACACCAAGCTTTTTAGAGGCCAATTTGGCATTCTCTTCTACTACTGGACTAGATTGAGTCGCCCTCGAGCCCGAGACTTTGTTCAGCAAAGACTCGACTTCAGACACAAGTGTTCCGCTACTCGGCGACGTTTTCCCGAGAAATATTGGCACGGCCGGTGTATAGAGCATCACCAGTGCTGTCATCCGCATAGCAATGAATATTACCGGATTGCAAAATATCATTGGTACGCAGAAGAAACAGCATTGGCGAAATCACGCAGCTTTGTGGAACACCAGCATTAATAGACTTATAATCGGAGCATGCATCGTCTACAATGATGACCCAAGCCAACAGCCCATTGGAAGGGAGCTTCGAAAGAAGCACTTTTTGCCAAACCCGATCGAAGGCCTTCGAATGCCTCCCCCTTGGACTCAACTGCTTCCGCCCATCTATGAGTCAAGATCACCAGCTGATCGATCCCGACGAAAACCGTATTGGCGGTCACTAATCAGCTAGGTGATCCTCAAGGTACTATACTGACAGTTTATAATGGATTCCGCTCTTTTTGGAGAACAAGGAGGTGAATGGCGATAGGCCTGTAGTTAGACGGGCCTGAGTGGTTGCCATTTTTAGGTATCGTGTGGATGAAAAACGTCTTCCATGATTTCGGTACTACGCCTAGATAGTAGGAATATCGGAAAAAACGCGTTAGACCTGGTGCCAACTATGGAGCACACATCCTCACACAGACCACCCAGCCTACGAGACATGAAACCATTACGATTCCCTAACTAAATTAGTCTGTCAAGGTTAGAAGAAAGAAAGGTGTGCGGGCGGTGCGGGAGACATAACTTAGAGATGTATCACATCCACATATTGTACGTGTAAATATGGCAGACTATGAAAATGTAATGTAATTATAAACAAATGAATGATGCGTAAAATACACCGTTAAATACATGTAAAATTCTTTAAAATATATACATGTATTTTATTTTACATGTCATTTACAACGCTAATTGCTTACCATAAATCCGTTAAGAGCGGAATGTGCCTAAGAAATACACAAACACAATACATACTCTAGAAAACCATGACTTTGCTTCGGCCTTGGTCGCGACAGTCCGAAGAAAATATCTACATTAGGTATTTATATATATTAGGTATCATTATAATTTATATATTAGGTAAATATATCTACAATGGGAAAAGTGTTTGTCAAAGTGCTATAGTTTAGGCAGGCAGTAGGGTGACTCCCTGATAAGGAGCAGATTTTGAAGATCTGGAGGTTTCTCCATACTTACTGTCACCCACTGATAAAACTCCCCATAAATCATTTTTACAGCGAATAGCTCCTTGGAGTACGAGGGCGGCACGGAAAATTTCGGGAATCAAGGAAGTGACACAACATTACTATTTAAAAATATAGTTATTGCTTTTCGAAGTATTCTCCGCGAAAATTGACACATTTTTCCATACGATGGAACCAATCATTGAAGCAACCATTCCATTCGGAAGTTGGGGTCTACAAAATGGCCGTTTTGTAGGCGTCCACAGCTTCTTCAGGTGGTGAAAATCTCTGTCCACGCAATTTATTCTTTATTTTAGGGAAATTATAGAAATCATTAGGGCTTACGTCGGGGCTGTACGGCGGATGGTCTAATAATTCTATGTTTTCTTGCTCTAAAAACTTTTTCTTTTTACGTTCTGTGTGTGGTGTGAGAACTCGCATTGTCGTAATGGAGGATGATGCGGCGGTTGCAGTTCTCTTTACGGAGTTCAGAAACGACCTGTGGCAAACAAATGCTAGCATACCATTCTGCATTAACCATTCTTTGTCCCTCAAGAGGAATAGTCGTAACATGGCTGGTTTTGGAGACAAACATGGCCACCATTTTTTTGCAACACTCCGTGAACGAACAATTTTTGTTGGCTTTGACTCATTTTTGAACAGCCAAACTCGTGACTGGTTTTTTGTTTCGGGTTTGGTACGTGTACATCCAGGATTCGTCACCTGATACGATGTTGTATACAACATTTGAGGATCCTGCGTGGAATCTTGCTAGAGTTCTGACGCACCAAGTAACGCGAGCCGCTTTTTGCTCTTCACAGAGCGATTGCCTGAATTTCGTGGTATGTCACATGTCGATCTTCCTCAATCAGCTTATGCACAGCAACAATGTTTTCTTGGGTGACTGCAGTTTTTGGACGACCTTGACGGGGATCATCACTGAGCTTGACACGTCCACGTTGAAATTCAGCAAACCAGCGATAAATTGTGGTTTTGGATGGGGCTTCACCACCAAATGCAGAAATCATCCGGTCAACATACTGTTTTTGTGTTAAACCACTTCGAAAGTCATAATAAATCATCGCTCTTGAATTTTCTCGTGTCAATTCCATTTTCTCAACTACTAAACAAGTTTGACAAAACCTTGTGACAAGACCGAGAATCTTTTTTTTAAATAAATAAATGGTATTCGATTTTTAAAACCAAGGAGTTTTCAATTAAAAAGATTTTAATATGACAGGAACAGTGGAAATATTCCATTCCCGATACTTTTAGTGCAGCCCTCGTACAGTTATATCAATGAGTGAGTCAGTCAGTAAAAAATTTCACATCTTAGAAATATTTTTTTCTTATTCCTCAGACATGCAGGTTTCCTCACAATGTTTTCCTTCACTGCCGAGCATGTGGTAAATCAGCACTTAAAAAAGCAATTAACAATTTCATTGGTGCCGGCGGGAATCGAACCCGGGTTACTCGCATTCTGTTATATTTACAGCGAGCTGTAACCATCTGAGCTACCACACCACAGCTCTCTAATAGACTTAGCTCCATTTATTTCTTTTTTTTGGAACCAGTCACACAGTCATGATTTTACAACTATAAGAACTACTTAGTCGAAATACCTATGGCATTCTACTTACACTCCCAAACTTGATATATGTTTGAGAAGCACAATGCTATACAAACATTCCACCTGATGGTATCTGGATGCTATGACCTATAGACATCTAAAGGCATTTTATCTTCTATTATAAAACAAAATCTAGATGCACTGTCACCTTTGAGCTCTAATGTCTCTTAACCATTAAATAAGTCTCCATTTTCGTCACTTTCTATACAAAACACTACAGTATTCTAGGAGTGATATTTGACAAGCTGACTCATTAATTCTACATATCATAACATAATAGTGTGGATTTACCATATGTATCACTCTTTATACAGCTAAATCTATCCAATAAGAAAGTAAGGTTTGTTCATCCAATGAAAAAGAAAGCAAGTTAGCTTGCAGGTGTAACGAAATTTAATCTGGAGTTGCCGACGTGTTTATCATACTCTGAATATCTTGATATTATGTTGTTAGATGTCAAAAATAAAGTCGCGTTAGGTATTCAAATTGATAAGGCGAGGAGAAATAAAACAAAGAATAATCAGGAGATGAACGCCGTTAGCAAACCCAACACAATTTGGATGCAACGTCATACTATGACGATGTTCTAATATTTTTTTTTAAGTAAGGTGTTACCGGTAAGTAAAAATTGTATACAGCAGTTTACCTTCCCAGGATGATGATGTCGCCCCACTCATTTTACTAAAATAGATTGAAGAACCAGCTCGCTACAACTTAGATTAGATGGATAATATTTCTTTATATACTTCAAATCAGATTAACAATTAACAATATTTTATTTTGATACCTAAATAAGAAGGTAACACCATACAACCAAAAATCCATAAACCAACACTAAACTTTTTCGAGTGACGTTATTTGACGTTTTATTATTGTTATTACAATGTTTGGCTTGGATACTTGTCTTTTAAGCCATATCTTTATTTCATTCGGGATCTTCGTTTTTATAGATTTTTCTTCACAACATGCTGATGCGTCACATTGCGAAGTTTTTGGGAGATTTTGATGACAGCTCAACAATCTGAACTCGGACAGTCGATGGCGACAGTCACTCAAGTTCATAAGGCGCCAAAGCCACACGAAGAGAGTAGCCATAGCGTTATTTTCCGACACCATACTGCAGTTACTATGCTCTTTGCCAGACTGCCTGTCCTTTTGTGCGAAGAAAAATCTGCGCTACGCACACTTTCTCAGCTCCCACACGAAATTCCGTTAAGTTGTATCCTGTAAATGTAAAAGGAAATGAGAAAAAATGCAATTATTTAAAGACATTTTCATTTATTTAAGTAATATTAGGTACTGAAATCAACTAAATTAGACAATTCCACTACATCTTCATGGTCATCATCACCTCCAGATAGCACCAGCCTACACCTGCTTCTGTTCTTTTTTACAGTTTTAGTAATTTGTCGAGGATATTTTCAGGTATGTAAATCTTTATGTGTGGCAGATTTGCTTAATATTTTTTTATTTAATTTAGTATCATTATATTTAAGTTCATTGTTTCAGCTGACATACGCTTACGTAGCTTGCTTTTGACAATGTTCATAACGTCGAAAATCCGCTATACTTCGGCGTTTAATTGTTGAAGCGACAGCACGCTAATGAGTAAGTTAACCCGAAAGGCATTCATTCTAGCCGCATTTTTGTATCGGGAGACTTGAGCTCGAAATTTCACTATATCATCACCATCACCGTCTTATTTGACCTATTGAATTCCATGCCATTTGCTCCCACTCAGGTCTATATTTCTGGCTATAAGCATACTTGCTCGGTGACACTTCCATTTAAAATTTTCACGAAACAAAACTGAGCTAAAAGACCAACATGAAAGTGGGAAAAACCAGTTCTTCTCAGATCCTAAAGCTTAGAGAATTAATTTAATGAAAAGCAATACATGGCAGCATAATGCAAACGGGAGATAAAACAATTAATGCATCGGCAGCATTTTAGTCGGAGAATAACTGAACGATAAACTAGATAGGCTAGTGTTTTATTAGACTGTGCTGCCAACTAATATCGAATTTTCCGCCAGATTCCAGATTTTTTTAGCGTTTAGATATCTAAAAAAAAGCGCTATAGACCCTAGAATTGCAGTAGATCTAGCGCCAAATGCGCTGAAACGGCAACACTGTCTTACTCAGTCATAGGGATGGACAAGTTAAAAAAAGTATATATATTTATTAAATCGAAATTTTTAAAGTAATTGTAACAAATCATTTATTGTGTTTCGCCCTGCTAATTCTTGTTGCGCAACTCGAGTTTAGTTTGAGTTATGTGAATTTAAAAGAAAAAATTAAACGGAAAAATTACGACGGAGTAGAATTTTTACGGAGTTGAACTCGAGTCGTAATTTTTCCGAATAAGCACACATAGGATGCAAAATGGCAAACAAGCAAGCATAACATAACATCGAAGCTTGTTTACTATATATCGATTTTTTCGATGTTTTTTATCACCATTTAAATATATACATATAAAAAAAAAAAAAAAAAAAAAAAAAATACATATATATTAAATAAATAATCATTTTGAACAGAAATAGAAACAAAGAATTATAATAATGAATTATTATATTTATGTGATTTTAGGAAGTTTTACACTATTTATTTTTACACATTTAATTTTATCGAATAATTATCAGAAAACAAGAATAATTAAATATTCTTTATTTTTACGTTTATTTATTTCGTATTGAATTTTAAAATAACAATTTTGACAACCTGGCATCTAGTAAGCGGTTTCTCTCCTAGGTAATTGTAGATCCAGCCTCTGAAAATAATCGCTCACGGGATACCGAAGCTGCCACGATAGGCAAATGGATCTTATCTAGGCTATGAAACCCGGGAAATAACCTATAATAATGCTGTAATATATGAAATTCGTCTTTTGCTTTAGTTTTATTTCTTTATGTTGTGGTGCGTTAATTTTTTATGGTAGTTCCATATTATGTCACCTTCAGTCTTATCGCATTTTCTGAATACATGTACGAAACTATATCGAAATACAAACAGGTGAATAACCGTATATCCATAAAGATCAATATTTCAGAAAAATTATTGTAACTAAATACGAAGTACCGTAAGCCGATAAAATAATTTCCATTCTAAAATAACTATCCATACTATTCATACTAATATTATAAATGCGTGTGTTTGTTTGTTGTTTGTTTGTCCTTCTTTCACGTCGCAACAGAGCGTCGGCATGACATGATTTGTGATAGTTCAACAAAATACTCCGCGAAAAATCCAATAAATATTTGAAAAGTTTTCCTTCTTTCACTACAACAAAAACCGGAAAAACATCTCATACCGTAATATCACAAGTTTCTTCTTTCACATGATTTTTGTATGGGGATAGTTCGAGTGACATAGGCTATTTTTTTCAGCGGAAAAACATATCATTCCCGTGGGAAAATCGAATATGTTGCAAAATTAAATTCAGCTAGGTGGCGCCACCGTGATTCTACAAGACCGACGACGGTACGATGGACGAACACAGAAGGTCAGAATATCTGGATTATTATGTCTTTTTACCAAAATTAAGATAAAAAATGCATGGATCTGTATTTTTCCACGCAGGACCGGGAAAAGAGCGATAAAAAACATAAAATTCACCAGCTGATTTTCTTCAAACGTTTTGGTGCATTGTAATTCACAGAATAGGCGATAACCTCGCAGATTCCGTTCCGTCAGAGAATCCGTTGATGCTTTGCCTACCCCGCAAGGGTTACAGGCGTGATTATAAGTATGGATCAGAAATACTATCACCACCTGTCACGCCTTCACCCTTAGCTATTACTTAACTGTGGTAGAAACAGTTCTTAGTAAGCCTTATTAATAAGCCTTAGTAATATTTATTGAACGGAAATGAATACAGTTCTTATATGTGGTTATGAATGAATCGGTATTACAATAAGAAAAATTGTGCAAAATTATAAGAAAAATTTATTTGAGAGTTCTTATTAATAACTAACGTATACATAGTTTAAATTGATTCCGCTAGATGTCGTTACTAGGTTTTTAAAACGCGGTAACGAAATATTTCCTGACATGTACTTAACTCCCGCCGTTGAGCCACGGGTCAACTTATAGTGCATACGGTACCTATACGCTTAAATTGTTTCTATTTCGTAGCTTATTCGACTACCTGCTTTCGATTTCGGTTGTTTGTTATTTGCTTTGTGATTTGGTTAAGGTTGAATGGATTTATATTGGCTTTCATTTTCGGATTTGTGTATTTTCTTGGATCGGTTTTGTTGATTCGGTTGGTATTCCTTTATACATATTTAGACTCTGGCTTTGATTTTGGATTTTGTTTATTTAGAATCGTTAATTGGTTTTCGTTGTTTTAGGTTGTTTAACAATATTTCAAAGGAATATTAATAGTATAGATAGTGTATACGGTACCTATACACTTACTTCTTTTTTCGTTGGTTATATTTATATTGACTACTGCTTTCGATTTCGGTTTTCTGCGATTTGTTTTGTGATTTGGTTTAAGTTGATTCGATTTTTTTTTGGCTATCGTTTTCGGATTCGTGTTGTGTCTTGAATTGGTTTTGTTGTTTTGATTTTAAAAAATATTTGAAATGAATATTTATTCCTTTTAGATATTTTGGATTTGCTTTAAAAAAATATTTAAAAGGAAATTTAATTCCTTTTAGGTATTTTAACGTTTTTTTTATAAATAGGGTTTTGTTACTTCATAATGCCTCGCAAACGTAAGTCCTCAAGATACTCTTGAAAGGCTTTTCAACAGTATCTTCTCAAAGACAAGCGAAAAGATTAGCTCGATCGCTAGAATCTTTAGAAGATGCTGAACTGAGAAGCAAGAACAACCAGAGCATCAGGCTGCTTTTAGAGCATCAGAGACACCTTCTCGACGTCAGCAAAGGCGTTTTGAACAGACAGAGCGTCAGGCTGCTTTAAGAGATTCCGAAACACCTTCTCGAAGTCAGGAAAGGCGTCTTGAACAGGCAGAGCGTCAAGCTAATTTAAGAGCTTCTGAAACACCTTCTCAAAATCAGCGAAGGCGTCTTGAATAGGCAGAGCGTCAAGCTTCTTTAAGAGCTACTGAAACACCTGCTCAAAGTCAGCAAAGGCGTCCGCATCAAGCTACTTTAAGAGCTACTGAAATACCTGATCAAAGTCATCAAAGGCGTCTTGAACAGGCAGAGCGTCAATCTACTTTAAGAGCTACTGAAACACCTGCTCAAAGTCAGCAAAGGCTATTCGAACAAGCGGAACGTCAGGCCACCTTAAGAGCCGCGGAAACACCTGATGAAACTCAACACAGACTCATTGAGCAAGCTGAACGTCAATCTACTATAAGGGCATCTGAAACACCAGAACAGACACAGGCGCGAAGAGATGCAAATGCACAGCTCCAAGCTGAACGTCGACAAAATTTTCAAAGAAACAATTGGTCGGTTTTTAATGACGCAGCATTCAATTATGATCCGTTGATTGATTATAAAAATCACAGGTTAGTTGTTATCGGACTGATGGACAAGGCGTGTCGATTTTGCAGCGCTTTAAAATGGAAAGATGAGACCGCAGGCATGTGCTGTTCCAATGGCAAAGTGTCTCTTCCGTTACTTGGGGAACCAGAAGAACCTTTGAAAACTCTCTTTTTATATGATGCTAATGAGTTACGACGCTTTTTAAACAGGATC